ATAGACAAGATGCAGTGGCAAATATTTCATGTATATTTTGAACACAAAGAGGGTTACACCGGCACTCTTTGCACCTCTTGTGGGTCTCTGGTTCTGCTGTCGTAATTAGTGATTTTTTTCTAGCAAAAAAGAGGGGGCTTAGTCCAAATAAATATAACGTCTTGGAAGGCTTTTTATTCTGTATTATGTTTGCATTCCTGCAAAGTCTCTGAAGAATAAGATAAGTAAAATATGATATAGCCTCAGAGAACGTCATGATTACATGTATCTGGACTAAGGGGGGGGGTTGCTATGTATTAACAGCATTAACAGCCAGGGCAGGACTCGCACGAACGCCAGATTTAGTTAGAGGGGCGATATTCTGACGCGTTTTTCAATTCTTGGTCACTCATGTTTAGAAAGAAAGGGAAAAAATGCAAACAATTACCGACCAATCACAAACGTTGTTGCAAATTTGACCTTGTTACGTCAACAATTTCCCATAATGCATTTATTGCATATAAATTAAAAACAAATATACCAATTGAATATAAAAATATTGCATTAAAATGACAAGTTATACCAATTGAATACAAACATTGCATTTGAATGACAAATTATACCATTTGAATAACAAATATTCCATTTATATGAAAAAATATACCATTTAACTAAACAAATATTGTATTTAAATGAAAAATATCAAATTTTTGCAACCAATACCATGCCATAGACTGTCGAAAAAATTGTCAGATACGAAACCTTATTTCACTTTATATAAGTGAAGTTAAGGGTAAATCTTGCATTTTAAAAAAAGTCTGATGACAGATGAGACAAATATTGCCGAATTAGTTTACGGAAAAAACCTCTATATTTTAGTTAAATCGTTCTGTGCAAAAATACACATTTATGACCAAAATCTGCCTTTACCGGTTTAAAAATGATATCGTAAAGATAAGCAAAAAAAAGTAAAAAAAAAACATTAAAGATATATAAAAACTGTAAATTATATGGAATGCAATAAATTATTATAAAAATTATAAATAAACTGATATATTTTTTTTCAATCCAGGAAATAGAAATATCATACCGATTAGCATTTCGTAGAGATTATTCCAGCAATCACATGTGTTATGACAGCAACATTATTAATGGGAATATAATGAATGGAGAAGGTGTTTTGGCATGCTATCATGGTTGTAGCGGATCTATTGTTAACCCTATGGCATACTACTGCACTGATTATAGTTTAGATGAGAACTGGTCAGCTGGTCAACGGAGCATAGCATATACTTTTATTCCAACGTCTGACAATATTTTTCAGTTCGGGTAAATTTGTTGAATGAATAAAAGTACATTGTCAATTCTTCTTTTTTTAATTTATTTACTTTCTTATTACTAAATTCTTTATTACCAACAAAATCGAATACAATGAAATGACACATAAAGGTAAAGAGACAGACATTAGGAATTTGTCGTGATAACGTGGATAGTGTACACAATGGTTAATTTAGAAATATATCACTTCGACCACGTAAAAGACTTATTTAAACCACAAATTAGGTACTTACTCTTTTCATTAAAGTCTGAACATTATACATTTTAGTATTGAAGGATACATTAAAAAAATTTTACAAAATATCACTTATACATTGTGAAAAACAACTCTTGTTTCATATCTATTTTTATTACCAAAACTTATTTCATTGTTCATATCTGTATTTCGTTATAATACACCAGTGTAATCGTACTTATATCAGGTCAAGGTCTTTATGTATCTAGTTCACTTTTGGTGAAGTATGACTTCATTGTTTAACCTAAAACTTTTAATTGTTAAAAATCATATGCATTAGTTTCATTATTTTCAACAATGTAATTTGAATAAAGAAACAAAAGACACGTTGATAAAATCCAGGTCTTTTGTAAAATATCATTACTTTAATTACAAATAGCTCGTTCGTTACTTTACAATTGCGAGTACATGCACTTTGTTTTATCTATTCATTTAATTAAAAGTTTTTAAATGCATTACAGACAATAATGGAAGAGGTTCTAACATAATTCTTTAATGAAACAATTTGTATGGGATGGTCTTTTGATATCAATGTGCAACATGTGTAAGGATAAGTCCGGTACATAAGCTAAAATCAACATAAAAAGAGATCTTCACTCATGGATAACATTCAATACAATTTCTCAAGCGCAAAGTTTTGATATATCCGACAATCTTTCAAAATGAAAACAATGGAAGGATAAAAATAACAAGTAAAAAAAAAAAACTGCCGATATATTTGACTAAGGTTAGGCGCATTATCACGTAGCAGTGTTAAGAAGTGTATCTGAATATTAAATCTGCATTAAATATTTCGACCAGTTTAAAAGTATAGGACGAAGTCAAATTGAACGGAACTGTTCATTTTTGACCTCATTAAACAGATACATTGTAATTGTACAGGGCAGATGTGGAATTGACCATTACCTGGTCCGATGAATAATAAAAGATTTCAAAAAGAATAATCCTTTGAAAATTATACTAATTTTTATTTTAGATATGATCAGAGCTCTATACAGTAGAAGTGTCAGTCGTAATTATAAACATGATGTTAAAATGTTGTACAAACGGTGCAAATATACCAAGGAGGCAATAAAAAGACATAAGTCGAAGAAAACCAAACATCAAAATTGCCAACAGACGAAAAGACAAATGACTTTCCACAAAACACTAAATAACATTAGAAACTAAAAAAGGGTATACACTCGGGTGCTAAGAAATGGACACCAGTTCACATTGTTATTGACATGTTTATCTAAAATGACGATTTAACACAGAATACTTGCAAAATAATTAACAGGCATTCAAATATAAGCATAAGACATTATGTGGTTATTTTTTATTGTTAATTTTTCGGCTTCACCCATTTACAGTGCAAAATAAAATTGTATTTGTTCACACATTTATCTAACCATGTTTATAAACATGATAAATGTTTCCAGGTATGGTAGCTGCTGTTGGATAAGTACTCTTGTGGTTGGAAGTAGCAGTAGTTGGATATTGCTTGCCACAGCAAATCTCTCTGTCAGGCAAGATACTGGCAAAATAAATACATCACCTATTTCTGCCATGCAACCTATTGTTCGTTTTAAGTATGGATGTTCTTATTCGCTAAGAATACCAGGTAATTTAAATATCCTTTTGTATATCTAAGATAAAAGTCGTCACCTAATATATATATGGAACGACCAAAATATGTCCTTATTCTTCAATTTGCAGGACATATTGACGCCAAGTTGTATTTGCAAAACTTAATCTATAAACTATTTTTGACATTTTTACCTATTATGTCTGTTTGTTTTGTTCACACATTGTTGTCAATATAATGGAATCTTATGCGACTGTTACCAAGTGAGAGGTTTAGCTAGCTATAAAACCAGGTTTAATCCACCATTTTCTACATAGGGAAATGACTGTACCAAGTCAGGAATATGACAGTTGTTTACCATTCGTTTGATGTGTTTGAGCTTTTGATTTTGACATTTGATAAGGGACTTTCCGATTTGTATTTTCCTTTGAGTTCGGTATTTTTGTTATTTTACTTTTTAATATATTTTGGGCATATTTCGGTGTAAATTGCATGTATTAATAAAACATTGATTTGTATTTGCCGATCTATTTTTGCAGTTTTTTTTTTTTTTTGACAAATATAATAACTAAATAGCTTCTAAAATGAAGTCCACAGAAAAACAACCATACATATTTGGTGAAATACTTTCTTGAAAATCTTGAATGTGTTTCTTATTCACCAGTTTGATAAACATTGTAAGTACTCAACATACAAAAAACCCTGCTTTGATGTTAAGTAGTCAAATTCAGCGAATATTTTGTACATAAATTTCTCATTATGTAATATATGTATTTAAATGCACAATTTAAAGCTTTATATACCAATTCTTTTAGTGTTCTACTTGGATCTGTTTATCACGAAAAGCACGGATATTCAGTAACTTCAATAATTGAATTGTTTAACGAATATATTGCTTTTTATCATCATTACCATCATAAAAAAAATGCATACCGGGCATTTTCCGTCGTCTGAGAATTCTGAATTCGATGGCAAAACGATATGTTTGTTAAAACATCTATCTCACATTATTTAAATTTTCAATAATTGTTTTCTTTTAGTGGAGGACGACGACGGAGACACTGTTAAATGTCGTTGGGCTAAAAATTCACAAAGTGATGAATGTTCTAATGTCTGTGAAGCATTTCCAGGAGCAGTTTTAAACGAGGCAAGTTATAAATGTAATTTGTTGTGCATATTTTAGGAATATACTGACGAAATCTATTTATAAACTTGTGCACAATATTCCATACCTATATGAAGATTATCAATACATGTAAGCTTGTTTTGATATATAAAAAAAGAGGAGATGTGGTGTAATTGGCAATGCCAATAATATCCATAACAGTTGGAATGATATGGATGCACGTCAATATTGGTGACCGCCAGGTCTTCAACAATGAGCAAGACCCATTCCGTAAAGTCTTGTTTTATCGTCTTTCTAAATTACTGCTCATAATAAATCTATGATATTAAGGAAGAAAACAAACAGCAGAAAAAATCCCTTGTTAAATGGTATTAATCACTATTAGTAATACATAGACCTGGTAGACGTGTTCCGCGAGTGAAGCAAATATGCCATTAACTTTATATATCCTTACTTCCTAGCTCCTAATCGCGATTATTTGTCATTGCGATAATAATTAATGAATTAGAGACATATTTTACCTTATGTTACGATTTCATAACAATATTACAACTCAGCACATTTTTTGACCATTCGGGATTTTACTAAATGCAAATGTAATATTCATTTTCAGGCTTCATGTATATTATCCTACACTGCATCGAGGAGTACTGGTTGGCACGCTGTTGCGCTACAGATAGAAGATTATTCTGTTTCCGACACTGCTACACCTTTAAGTAGTGTGCCGCTACAGTTTTTGGTCGATATATCTTCAACAACTGATTCTTGCGACGATAAACCCCTAGTACTGAATCTTACAAATGTAAATGGTTCGGTAGCTACCATAGCACTAAACACAACATTTTTTCAGACTATTGTGGCTAATAGTGGATCGACCAATGTGAGGTAAATATGAAGACTGATTACTAATATCATTCCAAGTACAAGTAGTTCATTTTACCTTGTAACTGACCAAAAAAATATTATGCATAAATCTACTGTCACGCAATTCCAATATAATCAGTGAGACGTTTTATAATTCGCAAGAAACATGACAAAATTGATGAAACATCAAATGAACTGCTGTGTGTAGAAAATATATAAATTAGTATATCTTTATTAAAATATCGATCTTTTTAACACTGTATTCATTCTCTTTGTAAGAGATACTCTATTCAGTTTTCAATTTGTTGTTGGAAATCTTTTGCTAATATATCTATATAGAATGAAATACACCATTCACACATTTAGTTTAAACAATATTTATTCAGATAAGTCATCACAGTCATAACGATCTCATACAATTGAAATAAATATTTAGGATTCACACTTTTAACCTACATTCGGAAGATGGAGTTGATAATTCAGTCGACCTGAATATACACTATTTCAATCATTACTCGGTTGCTTTCGTTTAACAATGGTAGCTATTTATACATCAATTCCATTGGTTCAAAAGTTCAGTGTAAAGTACATATGATTTATTTAAAAATTATACTTTACACATGGTATATTATAATTCTTAGCAGACAAAAAACTCTGATTATGGTCCTCTTGGCGCATCAATTCCCAAGAGAGGAACAAGTTTCATACAACAAATTTGCGACACTTTGAAATAACAGCAAAAAAAGATGCGGATGATACCAAATGAACATTCAAAACTTATACACGTTATAACAAACTGACAATGCCAAGGCGAAAAAAACCGGCCCAAAAACACTACACATATAGAAAAACTAAAGACTGAGCAACAAAAACCCTTCCAATTTTGATGGACGTTATGGAATATTGACCATTTTAGTACTATTGTATCTAACTTACACATTGTGAACACAAATCCTCTGACACCATTTGACAGAAAGGACTCTTAATTAATAGATTAGTTTGTTATACTGTGATGTTGACCATATTAATTCGTCTTTTTTCTTTTACCATGATTTTTATGCGACTTTTTTTTATACTTTAACAATCGTTCCACAACAACACAGTAAGAAACGCGATTTAATTTTCTTTTTATACAACGGCGAGTGTAATTTCGCTACGGCGTAGCAATCGTGTTCTTATTTGAAAAAAAATCATTGACAGAGTTGGCACAAAATGTTGAATAATGCATTGAACGTATACAGAAATTCTATATATTATAGAATTATTCTTTTTAAACGAATGTGTAGTTCATTAAAATCATGGTTTTTTAACGATTTCTTGAAGTTAAAATTGACTGAAAATGGTATAGAAATTTACAAACGAAGGTATTGGATATGTTAACCTCTATGTGAACTATACAGGTTACGATGTCGACGAAGCGATTAATCGAATGAAAAAAAATCAGCACTTATTAGATGCACTTTTCTGGATTTATCTTCATCAAGAACACCCACAACCAAATGTGAATGTCAAGGATGTATGAGAACCAAAACAGTTGAAGAGCTATATGACCATAAAGGACTTTAAAAATCACCAAATCCATTTAAGGTCAACTTTGCCTGAATGATTCAAATCCTTACATTACATAAAGATCAACGTAGAAGCGATTTCTTTTTCTTTTAGCATTACAGAAATTGTAACGGTGTCTCCTGTTGGAATGATTAAAACTGGACTTTTACCCTACGGGTTATCAGGAACACAATGGTATGTGAATGTAACATGGACACCGTCTCTATCTCAAGCAGGAAGTCATATATTTTGTTATACTGCTGTGAATAGCATGGGGTGAGTTCATACATTTACAATAAACTCATCATAGATACCAAGATTTGGTACGCCAGACCAGCGTTTCGTCTACAAAAGACTCATCAGTGACGCTCGAAACAAAACAGTTATAAAGGCCAAATAAAGTACGAATTTGAAGAGCATTGCGGGGATAAGTTCATATAACTCAAAAACTATTGTAGTGTCATTTAAGGGACTGATATTTGATCACCATTGCATGAAATACATCGTAATAACTATGCGATAGCATTGGTGTACTACAATTGCCGCTGATGTTTGTGCCTATCACTACGCAAACAATTAGTTCTAAAACGGTCATTCTGATTTGAACACTTCAAAAACCACTAAACAATAAATCGTTATGTAATTTCCAGTCTTTTAGTTAATTTGCAGGCTTTTGCGTTTCCCTCAGTTTTAGTTTGTAACCCGGATTTGTTTTTATCTCTATCGATTTATGAGTTTCGAACAGCGGTATACTACTGTTGCCTTTATTTATACCCTGTTGTAAATTCATAACTGTTCGTACAATTCAATTGCAGACAATTCAAATCTGTACAGTCTATAAGCAGAAAGTTCATTGTTGTTTTGTACCGTTACACATCAACATCCTACTGATTTGTCTGAACAGCTATTGAGAATTACTTAATTGACTGCAATTAAGCGAATTGTCTAGACGTTACTAAATTTACTGCAGTGGATAAGACTAAAAAAAATGACTAAAAGAAGGAACATCACTGAATAATTTGTTGTTCAGACTTTTCAGATGATGTTAAGATCAAAATGACCATTTAAGACTTATATTCCTTTATATTTATAATTGTTTTTTTTTAATATTTGTTTATGACGATCAAATGTTGTTTATTAATCTTCATTGATAGGTAAAGGATTAATATAATCTACAAAAGGCAATCAATAATTTTCCTTGAGTGACTTTACATTTTAATAAAGATGACATTGTTTTCTTTTCCAGACAATCATCGGACCAAGCATGCGTTACCATAAAAGTAGATGGTAAGTTCGATGTCTTTATTTCTTTTTTAATCTTTTGTTTCTAATAGACAATTCCAATCAAATGTAAATTCATCATATCACAGTAAGTTATGGCGTCTAGTCTAGATATGTACAAAAAAAAGTTATAACGAAACTCGTATACCTAAATTTATTAAAAAGATTACTTTATTTCACAAGAACCACCTGAACGCTGTATATTGGAATAAGAGCAAAACAGATACTAGGATTAGAATTGAGTACGCCAATGTCGCGTTTTCACAGACTGTTTAGTTTAGGCTTGAATGATATATGTTGATGCAAGTCTTAACTTTGAGCTAGTTTAATTTTTGAAAATTGGGTTCAGCGTATCAGTCAAGTGACAAACTGGATGTATTCGTACTTTATTTATTTGATATCCTTCCAAATACGTATGCAACATTTTCTCTTGAAGCGTCCGAGTCCAGTCATCATTCAAACAAATCTTTTTAATAAAATGAATGTTTGCCATTTAAAAAAAAGTATTTTGGAATCACACTTTTTTTCTGCATCTTACTTTCATTTCACTTTTTATTTCTAAAACAAATACGGTAACATATTAGGGACAAACAATGTATCACACAACCAGTATTGGATTTCTATTAATGTGAGAGATAATACAGGTATCCTAAAGATTCAATATGTTACATTATATGTGACAGCATTTGTAACTTTTCAAACCGAACATGTTTTAGGTGTAAATGAATGTACCAGTAGTCCTTGCCAAAATGAAGGTGTATGTACAGATGACATATCAAGATATACTTGTACATGTCCGGTTTCACATACTGGGAAAAATTGCGAAACAGGTAAACCAGTAGTAGCTAAAATCGTCAAAATAACATTTGCATCAATGTTTCGTTTTTTCAGACTTCGAAAGAAAAAATAATATATACAAATACAATTTTGATCAAGTGTATGTTTGATAAAATTCAGAATGGAAATGGGGAATATGTCAAAGAGACAACAACCCGACCAAAGAGCAGATAACAGCCGAAGGCCACCAATGGGTCTACAATAAAGCGAGAAAATCCCACACCCGGAAGTGGGCCTCAGCTGGCCTCTAAATAAAAATGTGTACTAGTTCAGTGAAAATGTACGTCATACTAAACTCCAAAACATATAAATGAATTAAAATTAAAAAACATACAAGACTAACAAAGGCCAGAGGCTCCTGACTTTGGAGAAACGTGGTGGGGTTAAACATGTTTTGTGAGATCTCAACCCTCCCCCTATTCCTCTAGCCAATGTAGAATAAAGAAACACACAGCAATACGCACAGTAAAACTCAGTTTAAAAGAAGTCCGAGTCCGATGTCAGAATAGGTAACAAAAGAAACTAAGGAAAATGACAATGATACATAAATAAACAAAGGACTAGTAGTAGTTACTGACATGCCAGCTCCAGACCTCAATTAAACTGATTGAAAGATTATGTCTTCATCATATTAAAATCAAGCACAATCCCTCCCGTTAGGGGTTTAGTATCATACCATCATAAAATATATGAGAAAAACATAACCCGTATCATGCCAACAACTGATTTTAGAATAAATGTGTTTATTTCCGATGCAAAGACCCTATCAGTGAATCAATATTAGTACCAAAACATGCAATTCTTAATGACTTGACAACAATATCGTAACTATATCCCTTCTGAATAAGTCTGTTTAAAGGTTTGGTCAGCTTTTGAGGTGAATGCCGACATTTTTGTGCTTTGTAAAGAATATTACCATAAAAGATTGGATGTGAAATACCTGAACGTATAAGATGTCTACATGTTGATTTATATTTACGAATGATGTCCTTGTACCGATGATAAAATTTAGTAAATGTTTTGACTAGTTTGTGATATTGAAAACCCTGGTGTAATAATTTTTCAGTAATACAGAGATTTCTTTCGTTAAAATCAAATACGTTGTTACATACATGTTGAACTTATATGTGATGGACTTATTATAACATATTCAACAAAATGTGAAAAACGATAAATAAACAGGCGAAAGAAATTTTCGCTACATGTTCAAACCTCAAACATATCAATTGTTTTGTGAAAACTGATGGCAATGATACTAGTACTTAATCATTTTAAAAACAGTTGATACATTCATTCTAGATAGCTTATCTAACATTCCATTCAGAGTAGCAAAAACACAAAACTAGATTCGGAAAACTGGAATTAAATAATAATAAAATTCGGAGCATATAAAATCTTCTGAAATGGTCAGCTACGGTGGTTCCAGAAACTAAGTTGTCCTTTGGATGGGGTGCTATCTTGTTCCCAATAGCCAATCAAACATATAGTTTCCACTTAACTAAGTCATGATATCTGCCTTAACAGATTAAGAAGTTCTGTAGTCAGTGATTCTTTAATGACATGATTCATTACATCAAAAACGCTGCAAAAATATATAATATACAAATCTGGTATGGCTGCTAATGAATCAAATATCCATCACAGAACGAATGACGTGGATGTTAACATTTATAGGTTATTGTATGGCCTTACACAATGTGATAAATTGAGGCCCGTGTTTTGACGATGATGTTAATAACAGCAGTCTAGGTTGAAATACAACTGGTCAATGTAAATCAGGTTTATACATTATTACTCGAAAAATTCATGTACTACAATTATTACAGGTGCTACATGTACATGTAGTCTTGGTCATAAGAGAGTGACTTTCACCTAATCACAACGTCATGTTTTTCTAACTTGCCTTGAAATCAGAAGTCTTGTAAAGTTATTTCCTATATTGGTAAAAAAAAAATGGTTCAATTCAAATATCCGTAATTTTTTTAACAAGGATCTTTATTATTTCCCTTACAGAAATGAAAAGTTTGCTGCAATATTGCAGCAATATAACAAATTTGTTTGCAAGAAGTGATCGCAAGAAAATTGCAGGTTGTTGCAGCAACCTGCAAATTTTATGCAATGTTACCGCAACAATATTTGTTTGCGAGAAAAATGCAGCAATTTTGCTACAATGTTTGAAAGAAAGAGTTTGTTTGCTAGAAAGTTGCAAGAACCTTTTCTTATATTTTTTAGGAACAACTATATGCAACAATGTCGCAAGAAATTTTTCTTTTAAAATGTCAGTGGTTGTCTTTGGTTCACGTCTGTCATATTTGTTTTTCGTAAATTGTTTTGTTATAAATTAGGCCGTTATTTTTCTCATTTCAATTGTTTCATATTTTTCATGCCGGGGCCTTTTATAGCTGAATCTACGGTATGGGTTTTTCCTCATTGTTGAAGGCCGTACGGTTGCATATAATTGCGTACATCCACTTTATTTAAACTTTGGCGGATAATTGTCTCTTTGGCAATCATACCACATCTCCTTATTGTTATATTTATGATATCTTGTATGAAGAAATAAAAAAGAATTTCAAGAATACTTTGGTTCTTACTTCAACCAGTGTAAACTAATTAATTGTGACATATAATTCTTTTTTGGTCCTATCTTGTTTTGTGACTTTGTTCTGTGAACAATATTTTTATTTTTATATTTTCCATCAAATGAATTTAGCCTCATCTGTTGCAAGTTACAATTTGTTTAATTTCAAGTATCTTTTTTTAATTATGTAAACACACACTATTTGCATGCCATATTTCTCGTCTCAATTAGAAATATGAGCTGGTGATAGAAATGTAAAGTGCCATCTGTTTTTCATTTATCTCTGTGTAGTGGACAGGATGTATCATAAATGTACACAGTTCAAAATATATATCGTAAAACAATACGATTTTAATATGTTACTTACTATTTACGTAGTTTTAACAAACAAATCAATGGTAAATCAGTTAGTTTTGTATATTATTTCTTTTGATTATAGATATAAATTTGTGTGAAGGAGTAACGTGTGGAAATGGAGGCACGTGTGTTGACGGTGTACTTAATTACACCTGTACCTGTCCAGGTTCACATACTGGTGGTCATTGTGAAGCAGGTTAATACTTAATGACATAGACAACTAATTTGTTATAATAACAACAGTTGATACATGTTTTCGTCATTGAGATTGTTTTTAACCTATATGTACATCTTTATGTATCATTTTCTAACTTGAATCGGAGTCAGAAGTCTTTTTGTTTTTTAGATATAAAAATATTTTTTTAAAACAATTTGTCGATAACTTTATATTAAACAGATATGTCTCGCTAGAACCGGCTGGATATGTAAACCTTTTAAAAAAATTAGGTTCGTATTTTTTCATGTAAAATGCAAGACAATTGTCTTAGTGACAATCTATTTAAAGGCATTAACACTATGAAAAATATTATTATTTTAAAATCTACAGTCGACAGGAATTCTGTATACATTTGCAATTTACTAGTCTACGAATGCGTGTAACTAAATTAATGGCAGTTTTGGCGCATACATGACAGTGTGTATGTTAATAGGTTTTCTTTTGTAGATATAAATTTCTGTGAAGGAGTTATGTGTGGAAATGGAGGCACTTGTGTCGATGGTGTGTTTGATTACAGCTGCACATGCCCGGTTTCACATACCGGAAGTGATTGTGAATCAGGTAATTATGTGATAACAACCAACTTATTAATTGGGAGTATTGCATGCATCAGTCATCGGGCTCGATCACAAATGAATTGTAGTGTAAAAAGAAGAATGTGCATGATCAAATTTTGAAGAAGAGGTCTCTACATAAAATATCATTTCTAAACAATTTGTAATCCGTAAATTTATAATATCCATATATTAGTTCTCCGAACAATCTAAATTTTTTTTAGACATTATAGCCGATTTAATAGTTGTAATTTGCTCAAATCAGAGTAGATCTACGTAAACTCTATCTATCTATAATCAAATGTTGGTCCGTCCAAAATATATATCGGACAACAATACGATTTTAATATGCTACTTACTATTTACGTAGTTTTAACAAACAAATCAATTGTAGGTAATCAGTTAGTTTTGTATATATCTTTTGATTGTAGATATCAATTTTTGTGAAGGAGTAACATGTGGAAATGGAGGCACGTGTGTTGACGGTGTACTTAATTACACCTGTACCTGTCCAGGTTCACATACTGGTGTTCATTGTGAAGCAGGTTAATACTTAATAACATAAACAACTAATTTATTATAATAACAACAGTTGATACAAGATTTCGTCATTGAGATTGTTTTCACCCTATATGTACATCTTGATGTATCATTTTCTAACTTGAATCGGAATCAGAAGTCTTTTTGTTTTTTAGATATAAATATATTTTTCAAAACAAATTGTCGATAACTTTACAATAGCTAGATATTTATTGCTAGAACCAACTGGATATGTAAACCATTCAAAATCAATTAAGTTTGTATTGTTCATGTAAAATGCAAGGCAATCGTCTTAGTGACAATCTTCTTAAAGGCATTCACATTATGAAATATATGATTATTTTGAAATAATCTACATAAGACAGCAATCCTATATACATTGGCAATTTACTAGTCTATGAATACGTGTAAATAAATCAATGGCGGTTTCTGCGCATACATGACAGTGTGTATGTTGACTGGTTTTCTTTGGCAGATATAAACTTCTGCGAAGGAGTTATGTGTGGAAATGGAGGCACTTGTGTCGATGATGTGTTTGATTACAGCTGCACATGCCCGGTTTCACATACCGGAAGTGATTGTGAAACAGGTATTTATGTGATAACAAACCAACTCATTAATTGGGAGTATTGCATGCATCAGTCATCGTGCTCGATCACAAATGAATTGTACTGTAAAAGGAAGAATGCGCATGATCAAATTTTTTACGATTCTTTGAAGAAGAGTTCTCTATATAAAACATCATTTCTAAACGATTTGTAATCCGTAAATTTATAATGTCCATATATTTGACCTCAGAACAATCTAAACTCCCTTAGACATTAAAGCCGATTTAATAGTTGTAAGTTGTTCAAATCATAGAAAGTTTGCGTAAATTCTATCTATCTATAATAAAATGTTGGTCCGTCCAAAATATATATCGGACAACAATACAAATTTAATATGCTACTTACTATTTACGTAGTTTTAACAAACAAATCAATTGTAGGTAATCAGTTAGTTTTGTATATATCTTTTGATTGTAGATATAAATTTTTGTGAAGGAGTAACGTGTGGAAATGGAGGCACGTGTGTTGACGGTGTGCTTAATTACACCTGTACCTGTCCAGTTTCCCATACTGGTGGTCATTGTGAAGCAGGTTAATACTTAATAACATAAACAACTAATTTCTCATAATTATAACAATTGACAGTTTTCGTCATTAGAAACGGTTTTTACCTTATATGTACATTTTGATGCATCATTTTATAACTTGAATCGGAGTCAGAAGTCTTTTTGGTTTTTTTTTTTAGATATTAATACATTTTTAAAATCAAATTTGTCGATAACATTACAAGAGCCAGATGTGTCTCGCTAGAACCAACTGGATATGTTAACCATTCAAAATCAATTAAGTTTATATTTTTCATGTAAAATGCAAGGCAATCGTCATGGTGACAATCTACTTAAAGGCATTCACATTATGAAAAATAAGATTATTTGGAAATCTACATTAGACATCAATCCTATATAGACAATTTACTAGTCTACGAATGCGTGTTAATAAATTAATGGCGATTTTGGCGCATACATGACAGTGTGTATGTTAATTCGTTTTCTTTGGCAGATATAAACTTCTGTGAAGGAGTTATGTGTGGAAATGGAGGCACTTGTGTCGATGGTGTGTTTGATTACAGCTGCACATGCCCGGTTTCACATACCGGAAGTGATTGTGAAACAGGTAATTATGTAATAACTACCAACTCATTAATTGGGAGTATTGCATGCATTAGTCATCGTGCTCGATCAAAAATATTGTAGTGTAAAAGGATGAATGCGCATGATCAATTTTTTTACGATTCTTTGAAGAAGAGTTCTCTATATAAAATAATATTTCTAAACAATTTGTAATCTGTAAATTTATAATGTCCATATATTTGTGCTCAGAACAATCTAAACTCCATTAGACATTAAAGCCGATTTAATAGTTGTAAGTTGCTCATATCAGTGTAAATCTGCGTAAATTCTATCTATCCATAATAAAATGTTGGTCCGTCCAAAATATATATCGGACAACAATACAAATTTAATATGTTACTTACTATTTACGTAGCTTCAACAAACAAATCAATTGTAGGTAATCAGTTAGTTTTGTATATATCTTTTGATTGTAGATATAAATTTTTGTGAAGGAGTAACATGTGGAAATGGAGGCACGTGTGTTGACGGTGTGCTTAATTACACCTGTACCTGTCCAGTTTCCCATACTGGTGGTCATTGTGAAGCAGGTTAATACTTAATAACATAAACAACTAATTTCTCATAATTATAACATTTGACAGTTTTCGTCATTAGAAACGGTTTTTACCTTATATGTACATTTTGATGCATCATTTTCTAACTTGAATCGTGATCAGAAGTCTTTTTTGTTTTTTTTAGATATAAATACATTTTTTAAAAACAATTTGTCGATAACTTTACAATAGCCAGATATGTTTCGCTAGAACCAACTGGATATGTTAACCATTCAAAATCAATTAAGTTTGTATTTTTCATGTCAAAATGCAAGGCAATCGTCATGGTGACAATCTACTTAAAGGCATTCACATCATGAAAAATATGATTATTTGGAAATCTACATTAGACATCAATCCTATATAGACAATTTACTAGTCTACGAATGCGTGTAAATAAATTCATGGCGATTTTGGCGCATACATGACAGTGTGTATGTTAATTCGTTTTCTTTGGCAGATATAAACTTCTGTGAAGGAGTTATGTGTGGAAATGGAGGCACTTGTGTCGATGGTGTGTTTGATTACAGCTGCACATGCCCGATTTCACATACCGGAAGTGATTGTGAAACAGGTAATTATTTGATAACAATCAACTCATTAACTGGGAGTATTGCATGCATCAGTCATCGTGCTCGATCACAAATAAATTGTAGTGTAAAAGGAAGAATGTGCATGATCAAAATTTAACGATTCTTTGAAGAAAAGTTCTTTCTATAAAATATTATTTCTAAACAATTTGTAATCCGTAAATTAATTATGTTCATATACTTGTGCTCCCAACAATCTAAATTTCCTTAGACATTAAAGCCGATTTAATAGTCTTAATTTGCCCAAATCAGAGTAAATCTTCGTAAATTCTATCTATCTATAATAAAATGTTGGTCCGTCCAAAATATATATCGGACAACAATACGATTCTAATATGTTACTTACTATTTACGTAGTTTTAACAAACAAATCAATTGTAGGTAATCAGTTATTTTTGTATATATCTTTTGATTGTAGATATAAATTTTTGTGAAGGAGTAACGTGTGGAAATGGAGGCACGTGTGTTGACGGTGTGCTTAATTACACCTGTACCTGTCCAGTTTCCCATACTGGTGGTCATTGTGAAGCAGGTTAATACTTAATAACATAAACAACTAATTTCTCATAATTTTAACAATTGACAGTTTTCGTCATTAGAAACGGTTTTTACCTTATATGTACATTTTGATGCATCATTTTCTAACTTGAATCGTGATCAGAAGTCTTTTTTGTTTTTTTTTAGATATAAATACATTTTTTAAAAACAATTTGTCGATAACTTTACAATAGCCAGATATGTTTCGCTAGAACCAACTGGATATGTTAACCATTCAAAATCAATTAAGTTTGTATTTTTCATGTCAAAATGCAAGGCAATCGTCATGGTGACAATCTACTTAAAGGCATTCACATCATGAAAAATATGATTATTTGGAAATCTACATTAGACATCAATCCTATATAGACAATTTACTAGTCTACGAATGCGTGTAAATAAATTCATGGCGATTTTGGCGCATACATGACAGTGTGTATGTTAATTCGTTTTCTTTGGTAGATATAAACTTCTGTGAAGGAGTTATGTGTGGAAATGGAGGCACTTGTGTCGATGGTGTGTTTGATTACAGCTGCACATGCCCGATTTCACATACCGGAAGTGATTGTGAAACAGGTAATTATTTGATAACAATCAACTCATTAACTGGGAGTATTGCATGCATCAGTCATCGTGCTCGATCACAAATAAATTGTAGTGTAAAAGGAAGAATGTGCATGATCAAAATTTAACGATTCTTTGAAGAAAAGTTCTTTCTATAAAATATTATTTCTAAACAATTTGTAATCCGTAAATTAATTATGTTCATATACTTGTGCTCCCAACAATCTAAATTTCCTTAGACATTAAAGCCGATTTAATAGTCTTAATTTGCCCAAATCAGAGTAAATCTTCGTAAATTCTATCTATCTATAATAAAATGTTGGTCCGTCCAAAATATATATCGGACAACAATACGATTCTAATATGTTACTTACTATTTACGTAGTTTTAACAAACAAATCAATTGTAGGTAATCAGTTAGTTTTGTATATATCTTTTGATTGTAGATATCAATTTTTGTGAAGGAGTAACGTGTGGAAATGGAGGCACGTGTGTTGACGGTGTGCTTAATTACACCTGTACCTGTCCAGGTTCACATACTGGTGGTCATTGTGAAGCAGGTTGATACTTAATAACATAATCAACTTATTTATTATAATTACAACAGTTGATACAAGTTTTCGTCATTGAGATTGTTTTTACCCTATATGTACATGATGTACATCTTGATTATAAATAAGAAGATGTGGTATGAGTTCCAATGAGACAACTCTCAATCCAAGTCACAGTGTGTAAAAAATAAAAAATTATAGGTCAAAGTACGGCCTTTAACACGGAGCCTTGGCTCACACCGAACAGCAAGCTATAAAGGACCCTAAATGACAAGTGTAAAACATTTCAAACAGGAAAATAAACGGTCTAAGCTACATAAAAAACGAGACACGAGAAACACGTATCAACAACACAAAAAAAGGACAACCACTGAACAATAGGCTCCTGTGTACAGATTATTTTACCCTGTATGTACATATGATTATTTTCTAACTTGAATAGGAGGCAGAAGTCTTTTCTTTTGGATATAAACACATTGTTTAAAACAATTTGTCGATAACTGTATAATACATGTAGCTAGATATGTCTCGCTATAACCAAAAAGATATGTAAACCATTCAAAATCAATTAAGTTTGTATTTGTCATGTAAAATGCAAAGCAATCGTCTTAGTGATAATTTTCTTAAAGGCATTCACATTATGAAATATATGATTATTTTGAAATAATCTACATACGACAGCAATCCTATATACATTTGCAATTTACTAGTCTATGAATACGTGTAAATAAATTAATGGCGGCTTCTGCGCATACATGACAGTGTGTATGTTAACTGGTTTTCTTTGGCAGATATAAACTTCTGTGAAGGAGTTATGTGTGGAAATGGAGGCACTTGTGTCGATGGTGTGTTTGATTACAGCTGCACATGCCCGGTTTCACATACCGGAAGTGATTGTGAAACAGGTAATTATGTGATAACAATCAACTTATTAATTGGGAGTACTGCATGCATCAGTCATCGTGCTCGATCACAAATGAATTGTAGTGTCAAAAAAAGAATGTGCATGATCAAAATTTAATGATTCTTTGAAGAAAAGTTCTCTATATAAAATATTATTTCTAAACAATTTGTAATCTGTAAATTTATAATGTCCATATATTTGTGCTCAAAACAATCTAAATTTCCTTAGACATTAAAGCCGATTTAATAGTTGTAAGTTGCTCAAATCAGTGTAAATCTGCGTAAATTCTATCTATCTATAATAAAATGTTGGTCCGTCCAAAATATATATCGGACAACAATACGATTCTAATATGTTACTTACTATTTACGTAGTTTTAACAAACAAATCAATTGTAGGTAATCAGTTAGTTTTGTATATATCTTTTGATTGTAGATATAAATTTTTGTGAAGGAGTAACGTGTGGAAATGGAGGCACGTGTGTTGACGGTGTGCTTAATTACACTTGTACCTGTCCAGGTTCACATACTGGTGGTCATTGTGAAGCAGGTTAATACTTAATAACATAAACAACTAATTTCTCATAGTTATAACAATTGACAGTTTTCGTCATTAGAAACTGTTTTACCTTATATGTACATTTTGATGCATCATTTTCTAATTTGAATCGGAATCAGAAGTTTTTTTTTTTTTTAGATATTTATACATTTTTTAATCAATCTTTATGTCAATTTATAATAGCAATATATTTTGCGCGAAACCAACTGGATATGCGATACATTTTAATCAACTTAGGTACAAATATGTTTCATTTCAAAGGCAAGGCAATCTGAAAAATACGTGCATTAGACAGCACTCCTATATACGTTTGTAATTTATAAGATTACGAATGTGTGAAAATAAATTAATGTTGATTGACTGCATACAAAATTGATTGAATGATTGATTGTTGGTTGCTGATCGTCTAGTGGCAAATATTTTAGGACGAGAACAAATTAACAATAAATACAATAGGTAGGTCTTGTAATTGAAGCTGTGTTGGATAAGGTCGGGGAAATTCGACTGCCACTGGAAAAGAGGGTATGTTGGATAGGGACAGACATTTTGCCTTGCAACAGGCTACCTACGGACCCCTCAAAGAGTTGTTGCAAGAGTTCTTAACGAGCGGAGAGCGTGGCACTCTCTCTACACGAGGCATCGGATTTAACGTCCCCATTCTGACCGGAAGTGGCTGCGTACTTGATACATCCCGCGCAGCCAAGCGGACGCCCCACTTCGGAAAGGGTTTTACTGCCGGTCGGAAGAAGACCTGTAGTGACTATATATCTTTTCCCCAGTCATCTTTGGAGGGGGGCGCATACAAGACAGCATTATTATAATTAATGTTCTATTACCATGTATTACAGTCACAACTTCTGTGAAAAAGTTGTATTTGGAAATGAGGGCACATGTGTCGATGGTGTGTTTGATTACAGATGCACATGCCCAGTTTCACATACCGGAAATGATTGTGAAACAAGTAATTATGTAATAACAAACAATTTACCAATTGTGAGTGTTGCATGTATCACACATCTCGTGATTGCAAAATGAATTGCAGTGCAAACAGGAGAATGTGAATGACCATAGGTTTACGATTTTTAGAAGAGGGGTTCTGTATATATAAATAAATATTTCTCAAACGTTTTAGTATAAGGTTAGTTGATAATGTCAATATATTGGTGCTCCATTAGGACGTTGAAGCGAATTTATTAACCGTAAGTCGTAACTTCATATACGTGAATGCAATCATATTACAAAATATAAATGTCCGTCCAAATAGATATATCAAATGAAATGCGATTTCAATATGATACTTACATGTTGTACTACTTACGTAATTTGTACAAACAAATTAATGGAAGTATTGTACTTAGTTTTTATATAATTTCTTTTTGGTTATAGATATAAACTTTTGCGAAGGAGTAACCTGTGGAAATGGAGGCACCTGTGTTGACGGTGTGCTTAATTACACCTGTACCTGTCCAGGTTCACATACTGGTGTTCACTGTGAAGCAGGTTAACACTTAATAACACAAATACCTAATTTATTATAACTATTACAGTTGCTACGTGTAGTCTTCATCATTAGTTTATACATGTACTCCCACTAGGAAATGCATTTAATCTTAAACAGTCATTTTGATCTAATATCACAAAAAAATGATTTATTTGAACAATTTGCTTGCAGTCAATTAAGATCTGTTCAGTCTATGTTCAAACAGGTGTTGTTATGTTCCTGTAATCAACATTATGCTGAATTGTCTAAATAAATACTGTACAGTTCTGAAGTTATCGAATATAATAAGCCTGAAAATTGACTGATATAGCCAAAAGTGCTGAAATTGACGTTAAACCCTTTGCCTTTCTCTATTTCAAATAAATGATAACATCACAAAGCAAGACACGAGTCTTATTGCCTTTGTAAGGGATGATGCATTTTGTAGATATGTATTCGAATTTTGTCAGTACGGTGATAAATCATTAAAAATGTAATTAAGTGCATTTTTTTTCATTTTAGATATTGATTTTTGTAAAGATATCAAATGTCAAAACGAGTGAGCATGTATTGATGGACTATTTCGGTACACTTGTAATTGTCAATTTTCGCATACCTGGGTTCATTGCGAAACAAGTAAACGAGTGATATGTTGATGTAATAAAAATTATAGCATTCTACGCGATCATACCAACATATTTGTGGTCTGTATGTATGTTAATTATCATTGATTTATAAATGCATATTTGAATTAGGTTTTCTATCCGTTTACAGAAAATCATTTTCTTTTGCATTTCACAGTAACACTGTAGCATGTAATTATTTATATTATTGTGAATACCAAATACGTATATACTTGCAAGCGTTACTAATATTACCATGTATGAACCAATTTAAACTATTTAAATCCTAAAATAAAATTTTGTTCAGAAATTACAATACTTGCGCACCAATTCCGGCCAATAATAAAATTAATGGGAAATGGCAAAGTATGTTACCGATACCTTACTGTTTGATATTTTACTCAATATATAATGATTGATTTCCATTGTTGTAGAGGTAGATTTTTGTCTAGGAGTTACATGTCAAAACGAAGGCACATGCGTAGACGGTGTGCTTGATTACATATGTACCTGTCCGAGCTCGCATACTGGAGACCATTGCGAAATAGGTAAATATTTGACCAAACATAGTTCGTAATTTGTGTATGACTTAATAAAATCTAGTTCATGCCTTGGTTACCTCTATCCATTTCTTGTTCAAAACAAATACTACTAAACGATCTTTATGCTAAAAATGGAAACTTCAACGATATGATTGCATTTGAAAGTTGTATAGGCCTGTCGTGTTTGTGTTATTGTTGTCCCTTTATTAAGAATATTATGTCGCTAAATCAATGTCATTCAACTGTTTGATGGTCAACACTTAATCACCAATTAATCAACTTGAATGGATTTCCTGATTACAAATATCCCAATTCAAATTATACATGTTATAGGCGTTCCCTTGGTCGCCAAAGAAAAAAAAGTATTACCAATTTACAATACCAAAGGCACGGCTATCATTCTCTCAAACTTTTTCCTATATTTTCATCTTGTTAAAGCTGAAAGTATATTCTCATTGCAAATGAATATTTGGAATGGGTAAAATTATATGTAACATGGTTTGGTCGGTTTATCCATGTTATCTACGATGTATGAATTTTGATTCGTAGTCCAGAAGGGTAGGACATTTCTGTTTCTTAAAAAAATACCCATCGTTATGTCGTGTTTCACACAACTGGTTATTTGCCAAATTAAGAATATGAAATACAAAGTTACCTATAAAAATGTACCCCGAGGGTATCACCAGCCCAGTAGCCAGCACTTATATTTTGACATGAATTATCATTACGATGGTCACAATTATAAATTAACTGTAAACAAAACATTGATTTTTTCGAAATACTAAGGATTTTCTACCCAAGGAATAGATTACCTTAGTTAGATTTTGTAAAACCTTTCGGAATTTTGCGTTCTCAATGCTCACGATGCTCTCCAACTTCGTACTTTATTTGGCTGTTTTAAATTTTTGGACTCGAGCTTTACTGTAGATCAAACGCGCGTCTCGCGTAGAAAATTATAATCCTAGCATCTAGGATAAGCCTATTTATATGAAATTGGTTATACATTCGAGACGCCTCCAGGGCCCTGATTAAACTGTATTTTATAAGTATATATAAAAATATAACTACACTTTATGCATCTGGTGCATACATATGCAAATTGTGTTATTTTTTGTTTAGATATAGATTTTTGTGAAGGTGTGATATGTCACAATAAAGGAGTATGTGTCGATGGATTGTTTGTGTACACTTGCAAGTGTCCTTTTTCGCATACAGGGGACCACTGTGAAACAGGTAATTTATGTTTATTTATTAACTGAATATTATGTTCTTTTATTTGATACTATCAACAATATTGTTTTCTGAATACATGAACAGAATCATCATTATGTAAATGGGTAAGTGTTGTTTGTTAAAGGTCGATTTGCAATTGTCTTCATAGGTATTTGCATTTCACAATAAAAGTTTAGCATGTAAAGTTTTAAAAAAAAATTCGAATTTCCACTAGAACAGTCGCCTACTTATTGTTGATGGTAATGGTTATGCAAATGTTAAAAAAGACACTGCAGTCTGATACCTATAAACCATGACATCAATAAACGAAAAGAAAAATTGAGACAAAGGACCATAATATATTAACTATCTGTAATTTAAAATACCATTTGTTGTGATATAATGCCTGTACCAGTGTTGATATATGACTGTACTGTCAAACGTCTAGAAGTCAAACCAGACATTGTGTGTTACAATTGAAAGTAAACTAAGGTTAATCGTAAAAATAATTTAGCCTGTGCCGAGTATAAATAAAGATTTAAATTTTACTGGGTGAATTTCTCCAAGTATGTACATACCCGATGATAAGTCTAATTCGGTAGGTCACATTCGGGAACAAGGTGATGGGATTGTAGCTACGACAATTGGAACATATCCGTTTTCATCTAAGAAACGGATACTCCATAACGGTCAACCAACTCGTGATGGCGTCCGTAAAATTTACAAAGGGACGATTTCAACTTCACCACTTGGAACTCTTGGTGTAATAGCTTCCTTGTGAGTAGCAACTCTATATCAGTGAAATAATGATGAGGAATATCGTATCAACTGGGAGATATATACCCCGTATGCAAGGGCTGCTGGAATTGTGATGCATAGAAATCAAAAGTTCACAATTGAAAAGCTGAAATCAACTCTTTTGTCGTAATGTTTTGTTTTCAACCGACCATCATTGTCAATTTCTAGATGCAAGTCGATGGTGAACCGTATAATGATTTAACCACACATGGGATTTTTCCTGCCAAGTTTTGTTTAAAATAACCAATGAAATACACGAACATTTAAAGATATCGTCACCATTTATGATAGACGTGACGTAAGGAACTCAATACGAAAACCACTGACTGACCCATACGGATCCATAGTGGGTCACCACGTGACGGCGTTAAACCAATTATAACGTCAGTAATTTATCCGAGGTGCGATAAAAGAGAGGCCAATGATACCAAAGGGACATTCAAACTTACAAGTTGAAAACAAACTGACAACACCTTAGCTTAAAAAAAGAAAAAGACAAACAGACGAACAACAGTACACAGAACAATATAGAAAACCAAAGACTGAGCAACACGAAACCAACCAAAAACTGGGGTTTATCTCAGGTGCTCCAGAAGGGTAAGCATATCCTGCTCTACATATGGCACCCGTCGTGTTGATAAATGACTAGTATAGAATATTGAAAAACTTTCCTTAAAAAATACTTCCTTGAAAGAAGTTAAAATGTGATTAAAGGGAAATTCCTTTTATATATTTTTCGGGAAATTCAACTGATAAATGTTGATTTGCAATAGTAGGCCCAATTAGTTGGTGGCTGCAGAACATTGCCTCGTTCTCTCTATTGCCGGGCGAACATGATAAGAATGCAATAGATGTCATCATAGCTAACATAGAACCATTCTTCTTAGCACATAGTTATATTATACAGTATTTTGTATTTTAAATTCTGCTAAGTTTTATTCAATTATATTGTGACTTCAACATGAATTATATCTAAAGTATTCCTTTGCATGATGGTCTCGATGTTGGGCTTTCATTTCTGTCTTCCTAAATTTGTTATGCAATTTATCTCTGATCTTTATTGTTTTGTTCAATATTCTCTAGTTTGTAAATTCTGAACTTATTGCGGGCATGTATTATTGCGATTTTGGAAGAATGAACATTTCATGAAAAGCTGAGTACAAATATATGTATCAGATATCAGAATGCGAGTTTTTATTTTGATACTTACCCAGTGGCACTATTTGCATCAATAAAAATCTTGCAATAATTTCTGAATTTACAGTATTAAACCACACTTTTGTTCTCTTAATTTATCTTATTTTTTTGGTCCATTTTTCTCTATTCTTTAGTTTTTTTCGCCTATTAATATCTATTCTATAAAGTCAAGCCAGACACTCTTATATCACTGACTGTTCCTTATCTTGAACTTTTATTTTTTATGCATAACCATATGCATATAACGCATGTGTGCCTTTCTCATTATTTATTATTACTATGGTAAATTTCCTTATAGATATCGATTTCTGTGATGGTGTTATATGTGAAAACAACGGATCATGTGTTGATGGTGTGTTAAACTACACTTGCACCTGTCCAGTTTCCCACACTGGCTTTCACTGCGAATCAGGTAAACTAACTTGGATAGTGTAAAGATTTGCTTTAAAGTGTGAATCATTACGTTTTAGTTGAAAGGTTTAGAAGTGTACGTTTGCTAATACTAAAAAGGTTGCATCTCTATCAAGCAAGGTAGATCTTACACTACCTTTTTGGTTTGTATTACATTATTCGAATTAATTTCCACCCATTTTGTAATAGCATATCTAATGAAGTTCATTCAATATACAGGTGTTGTGAACACATAAAATAAATATGTGCCACCATTTTTTGTCAAAAGAGCAAAGGCCAAAAACGAATCCGCAATATTTCATTTCTGCAAAACATTTCAAATTATGATATTACACTACAAATTATAAAGAAGCAACATATCATTGAGATTATTGGTATCTGCAATGAGTATTTCATTTTTTTTAATGCTTATTAAAAAAACCCGTTAATGATTTTTTTTTTTTTTTGAAGATTGTGCATACCCTCACCAATGCCTATTTAAAGCAGGGTTACTTTAACCTATAATTGTTTACTTTTTACACATTGTGACTTTGATGGAGAGTTGTTTCATTGGCACTCATACCACATCTTCTTATTTATATATTATATTTCAAAATAAATAATGCATTCCATTTGTTTCAATTTATATATCCATTTCAGCTTCCTCCCCAAGGGTGACTGGGAAATAGAAATATGGTCATTACAGGTCTTCTTCCGACCGGCAGTAAAACCCTTGCAAAAGTGGAGCGTCCGTTTGGCTGTGTGGGATATATCAAATACGCAGCCACGTCCTGTCAGAATGGGGACGTTAAATCCGATGCCTCGTGTAGAGAGTGTCACGCTCTCTGCACGTTAAAAACCCTTGCTACAATTCTATCCCTATCTAAAATACCCTCATTTTCCCGTGGCAGTCCAAATTTCCCCGACCTACAACCATGTTGACCTCTATTACCATATCTACCTATTGTGTTTATTGTTAATTTGTTCTCGTCCTGAACATGCATGAAATATTTGCCACTGGACGTTTAGCATCCAACAATCATCAATCAATATTATAGTTTCCTATACAGGTTATGTGTTGATTAAATCAGTTTGTTTGTTTTGCAATGACTGTTATCATCTCTAGGAACATTGTTTGTGTCATCATTGATAAGTTAGTTTATTCAATCTCATAAGTACATGTAAAGGTTTTCAAAAAAAAAACCTCATAAATGCCCCGTTTAAACGACGTGTCTGACGGGTCTTAACATTTTGGTAAATCATGTGACTTTTTATTCAACTTTCAACTGGTCAAGTTGAAGACCAACACTCTAGCAGTTTGTAAGAATTTAACTCGTAAACTTTGATCCCTTATCTTTATTTTTCAACATGTTCAAAGCATATACTTGTTTTATCAGATTTAAACAGTCTTATGAACAGGCAAAACAACATTGAGAAGATTAAAAAAAATTATATCATAACAAATAACTGAGGTGAACCTTTCCATTTTGTAAACATTTGGTTTTAAATTGTTAAAGAAAAATTATATAGTAAGAACGAAGTATTACTTTCGTCTAATCTATGAGTCTTTCAATTCAACAATTAATAATATGAACGAGTTTTGTTATATCTTTATATATTGATTTATTGTGTGAATATCGCATGTGTTTCTTCACTAGCATTTATTTAATCTGTTAGTACTCAATTGCAATCATCATCCTATTTGTTTCATTAATTTATCATGAAACAACAAATCAGTTAAAACTTTATTTTTTTTATCTTAATCGACTTGCTTATAGAGATTTTAAATTGTCATTGGGTTTTATGTTGAAAAAGGTGGGGGGGCGTCAATGAGCTCGTTTACAGGAAAAATACTTAGATATATTTTTTCATTATATTTGTTTTCCTCTGCATCGACTAAAAACATTTTTGGTAGTACAATCATCCGATTTATGTGTCTCCAAGAAGGTATCATTTGTATTGTAAGGATATAAGGCACATGTCTCAGAAAGTAGGGCTCTCCTTTTAGTTACGACGAACATATCATTCTTGATTCAGATTAAGTATTGGAAAATTGCTCACACTGTATGACCAACATTAAAGAAACATCTCTTCAAACAATTGGTTTTTTTTTTTAAATTTAATCAGCTTTAAAAGGAACCATATATATAAAATACAGAAATTCACGAAAAAAGAACTTACCGAGATAACATTTCTTAGAGAATCATTCAATGTATGACGACTTTGAAAATTCCATGATGCAAATATTCAGATTGCTGTATTTTCGTGTATATATTTGGTTTGACCGATTATTGTCTGTCTATAGAGCAATGGATTATCATTACGTATTGTTTTGTATATTTTTTTGGACAATTTTCATAAAGCAATGTTTTAACCATTAAAAAGACTATTTTCTGTTTACAGAGAAAACTTATCATTCTAAATTCAGATTGAAATTGAAATATAATTGTGACATCCGAAAAGAGATGACATGAAATCCAAGAAAAGCTAAAAAAGACTGATGAAAACATTAAATAAAACAGCAATATTGATTGATTGTTTATTGATTTATGCCCAGTGTTAAATATGTCTTGCATGTTCAGGACGAGAACAAATGATCAATCTATACAATAGATAGGTCCTGTTATAAGAGGCGACCGGGATAAAGGATGGAAATTTGGACTGCCACTTGAAAATTAGGATAGGGATAGAAATCAAGCCTTGCAATAGGCCCATAAGAACCCATCAAGGATTTGTTGCTAGGGTTCTAAAGTGCAGAGAGAATGGCACTCTCTCTACACAAAGCATCTGATTTAACGTCTCAAATCTGACAGTACATGGTTGCGTATTTATACACCAAACACAATAAAACGGATACCCCAGTTTGATAAAGAGTATAACTGCTGGTCGGTAGAAGACCAAGTGACAAATGTATATCGCTCAGTCACCATGGGGATTAAAAAGGATAATAACCGGAGTGTGCGAAATGTAACCACTAACAATTGAAGGTTATTAGATTATCCGAAAGGTTCCTTTTTTCAACTGAACCCGTGGAGTTGCTCAACAACAGGAGCTGGTGATAGGTACCGATATGTGTTGACGTAGGCAATATATTACTTAACAGTGTATAATGCCTTTTTCTCATTACAAATATTTGTTTTAAAGGGTATCTTAAAAGCAGCTAAGCTGTGTCAAAGAACTCATGAAGCAAATACATGTCATGAAATGTTATAGTAAAGCGGTTCTACTCAACGAAAAGAGCAGTTGGTTCCCTCGAAAATTCCCATTTAGCACATCTTAGAAAAGTAATTGTGAAATCCTAAACATATTTATAATTACGATAACGTTACTTGTACTTTGCAGTATATATGTTGTATCAGGTGATAGTATATATTCAAACAAGTTTGTGTTACATTCCAGATATTGATTTCTGCAAATTTGAGGATCTACCATGTCGTAATGGAGGTACTTGTGTAGATGGTCTCTTTGATTACACATGTACATGTCCTTTAACACATACTGGTGATCATTGTGAGACAGGTAAAAATAAAATAAGGCAAAAGTATGTCCCTTTAATTGATTTAAGATGGAAATCAAGATAAGCAAACACAAACTGAGGGAATTACATGAACTCTATAATGATCAAGACCTGATGCATGCATCACCTGCAAAACACAAAACTGTTTATGCAGTATGAAATTGTGGACGACACGAAAACATTATATTTGTTAACAGAAACACACTGTATTGGTTTTCACCGTTATGTGTCTAAATAATGTTAATATAAAAAAAAAATAAGGAGCTGAAGTGCTTACAATATCATAAATATTACTCTCAACAAATTATAATGTTGAAATTTTAATTATTGCTAGCAAGTAACCAAAAAGAAATAGTTCAATGCTTTTTGAATTTAGACAGTTAAATGCAAATATCAAACGGTTGTTTAAAATGAACTTATATGTTACAATAATACAAGAAGCTTGCTGCAAAATTGGAAGAAACTCTAGTTCGTAGTTCCTGAGAGAAAACAATATGTCCCTAATGTATATTACTATATAAGTATTCGGTTACAGGACTATAAAAAAAAATGTTAAACGGTTCAACAACGGAAACCAATGGCCTGATTTACGCTAACGAGAGTAAACTAACAACAAATATTGCAAACAGCATCCAACGACAGCCACTTGAATACAGGCTCCTAATTAGGGACAGACACACACATGATTTGACAATGTTAAATATGTTAACCATTACTTTATTTATGTATATCTTTTTGTGTTATTTTTTTTTTTGCATTTTAGAAGCTGACAACACAGGCTATGTACTGAGTGTTGTTTTCGTATCAGTCGGCTTGGTTTTATCTGGAATATTGACAGGAGTACTGATAAAAAGTTCAGTTTCATTTATCAAAGGCCCAGGTAGCTCTATTGATACATACAATCCTCTTTATATGTGATCACACGGATTTATCTGAAATATAATAATACATTGTGACTGTACCTTATATCTAATGTTTTATTTATTGTATTCTATTCAAAATTAACGACTTGTAATAATAAGAATTTCATTCATTTACACGGTATTTGTTTTAGCAGTTTGTAATACATTGTTTGCTCATTTTGAATAAAATGTAAAATTGTCTAGGTTGCATCTGGATTTATTTTTCCATTTCAAGCTTACAACCCACAGTCAAACGGAAATGTCAAAAAAAATTAACACAAATTGCATGCAAATTCACTCTGCATAGCATGTTCAGACTAGTTAACCTTTTATGCGACTGTCATACAAGTGAGAGGTTTAGCTAGCTTCAAAACCAGGTTCAATCCACCATTTTCTACATAAGAAAATGCCTGTACCAAGTCAGGAATATGACAGTTGTTATCCATTCGTTTGATGTGTTTGTTTTTTTTTTTATTTTGCCATTTGATTGGGTACTTTCCTTTTTGAATTTTCCTCGGAGTTCAGTATTTTTTTTTATTTTACTTTTTATATTGTGTTTGTTACTAACGCGTGTAATAATCTATTCTATTATTTTGCTTCAAATCACTGCCTGCGGAGTAATCCCAGGAGAGTAAATTGTATTCAATAGTACGTTACATAATATGATAAATGGGGATTTCAGACCAGCTTTTCCTTTTCCTATCGACACATGAAGCTACTCGTGCAATTGAAACCCATATGACAGCCAGCGGCGTAGCTTGACCCGTATTGCTAGTGACGCAAACGATTTAAGGCTTAACAGTAGAGCTCCAGATGACAAACCGGTATAAAATAGTTTTCAGCATCTACAAATGCAAAAAATTATTACTTGTATTTGACAAATAGGAACTTTCATATTATTACAGAAATGCCAACTAGATTGTACTCATAGCTAGAATCATATTTTCATCTTTAAAATTTAAGTGCTGTGTTGTTTGTTGGTCTTTGGAGGAGATGTCTATTGATTGGCCACACAGTTCTTGTTTATAAACAATTCAGTTCATTGAAATTTAATTTGTACAAAGAAAAATTTGTATCCAATGTGCATTAATTGATTGATTGTTGCTTGCTTTACGTCCAGTGGCAAATATTTCATGCATGTTCAGGACGAGAACAAATTAGCAATGCATACAATAGGTAGGTTTTGTAATTTAGGCCGTCCGGGATAAGGTCGTAGAAATTTAGATTGCTACGGGAAAATAAGGGTATATTGGATAGGGACAGAAATTTTGCCTTGCAAAAGGCCACCTACGGGCCCCTCAAAGAGTTGTTTCGAGGGTTCTTAACGTACAGAGAGCGTGGCACTCTCTCTACACGAGGCATCGGATTTAACGTCCCCATTTTGACCGGACGTGGCTGCGTACTTGATACATCCCGCACAGCCAAACGGACGTTCCACTTATGCAAGGATTTTACTGCTGGTCGTAGGAAAACCTGTAGTGACCATATTTCTATTCTCCAGTCACCCTTTGGGATCAATGTGCATTACATTTATGCATTTGAATGTAAGTGTTCAATCTGTAAAATGATTAACAATTTGGAATAACTGATTGTTGCTCGCTTAACATTTGGGGCAATTAATTCATGCATGTTTAGGACAAAAGATTGATTGATTTTTGGCTGCCTTTCACTGGCTATGATATCATATCTGCATTCCATTGGTAAAAGAAAAAGGAGTGCATGGCAAACATGGAATGTTTGTCCTGAGGCGTCTACTGTATTCATAAAACTCAGTCAGTAACCACCAACAATTGACGCAGAATATCATTAAATTCTTGAGAGGTACCTAGTCACTATGTATGACAGGTCTAGTACCACTGATGGAATTGATGAAACAAGACTGGAATTGTTTGCTCGAAAACAGAGATCATATGACTTCATTCCCACAACAGAAGCAGCTCTTATTCAACATGTTAAGCAGGTTGCATATGGTGCCAATCAACTATAAGTCAAATGAAAACCGAAAGCCCTTACTTGGGTTGGAAAAGCAGGATGACATGTGGGAAATCTTTTTGATAGCACTTCCGGCAATTGCGCAGAGTTGCCAACAGCTTACGAAGTGTGGCTTCAAAACTGAATGTCGCGGCAGGTGCAATTGTTGAGTCTCCCTTGTACAGCTTGTAAATGCAATTGTGAAGGCTTGAATTTATTGACAGGACCTTTTCCTCAGTGTTTAATTTCTTTTGCCCCCTCTTTCGTTTAATTTTTATGTTACAACTATATTACTGGTTTTTCAATTTTGATGATTACGTTTTAGCGTGGCTCGGTATTTACACATCCCTCCATTTAGTGTTATGGTGGTGTTATGAATATGTTTCCTTGTATTTGGTATCTTTTCCTGTTGTACTTTAACAGAGGAGTGTGCTTATATACATTTTTTACTTTGTCGTCTTAGTTATTTATATTTTCATATAGTTTTTGTAATTATTAGACTATATTGACGACTCTATCCCAACTATTGCCACTTTAACATATTTTGTCTTTGTTTTGCTCACACTTAATTAAATGAAGTTTGACTTCCATAGAGACGTGTGATTTGATGTGTTCGAGTATTTTGGTTTTGCCAGTTGTTTATTGACTTTTCTTTTTAGAATTTTTCCAGGAGTTCGTTTTTTTTTATTATTCTACTTTTTTCTCAAGTTTAATAGGAAATACATTGTAAAATAAAAAACCGTGAATAAAACACATAAAATGACCCAAAAAGATATTTTTTGCCATTTAATACAATTTGGTACATTTATGTTGATATACATACAATGATCATGTTTAATATCTAAACAAAAACCGTTTAGTGTGGTCATGCATGTCAATATTAATAGTAAAACTAGTTATTATTACCTAGAATGGCGGCCATTTTGAAAAAAATGGCCGCCATTTAAAATTTCAAGTGGCTAAAGGAATTTTCCGATTAAGTAGACTCAAAGGAGTCTCCCTTTTGGTGCTTATATAACAAAGTGAACGATTTATTCACTAATCGGCAGGGCTATATATTCTAGTGTAAAATATTTCAACCTGTATGAAACCGATTTTCTCTTTAAACTCATTTTGCTATTCGAACAGAAGGCGTTTAAAACAATTAATATTCTATGTGAAGTCGTATTTAAAAAAAATACTACCATACGTAGATGTCGATTTTTTTACTTTTTTTTTAATCTGAGTTTGAACTAAACTGTTCGATTTTATAGGCGTTTGATTTGTGTCAAATTTTGTTTCTCGTTCATTATTTACTCTTAACAAGTTTACCTATGACCACTATAACTATTGTCAACTAGACCACCGGAAATGTATATAATGAGGACATTATTTCTATGTCATAAGCAAAAGTCATCTGAACTATGATGGTTTGCTTCTATGATACAACGACTGTCTACTAGATCAAGACTGAATACATTGATATAAAAATTGATTTGCTTGTTCAAACAATTAGGGTACATGCTTTATTTTCTTTATTTTATGAGTCAGATCCACTGCATATTAATCCATTCCTTCTTAATGGATCTTTGTCTAATGTCTGATGTATCCACGTGTTTAAAGCTCAAAATGTCGGTCATGACAGAATCACGCGAGTTAGAATCGGGTACTGATCCTTGATTATTTCGTGGCAGTTGCGATCTCGCTCCTTTTGGAGTTCATGTGATTCCCATATTTTCTGTTTGTTACATGGATAAATTTGTTTCAATTAGACAACCACTACAACAACTTACAGAGCATGAAGACTATGGCGTCCTTTCCATTTATTGCAATAGCAATACATGGTTAGATTAATCTACATAAACATGTACACACCTTGTCAAGAATTTGCAAATTATCCTCAGTCCTGTTAGTTACACGTGAATACTTACCTTGATCGCTAATCTTGCATGTGACAGATGTACACGTTTTGAATTTACAATACAAGCTCTAATTTATAGGTAAGATAATACTTGGTCATGTTTTATTAATATTTAAAGCCCAAGGCGTAGCCGAGGGTTTTAAATGTTCTTTAAACATGACCAAGTATTGTCTGACCAATTTAGAACATATGCACACCTTCGAGTGACAAAACAAAATTAGCCTCACATTGTAATAATCAAATTTTGATATTAGCTCACTTTGAATTTTAACATGGTTAGTAAAAGGGATGTAAATTAATTTTATGGTCATTTCAACAGATGAAATGAAAGAGCAATGAGATAGTTTTGTGAAAACAAAAAAGGACAAATTATTCAAAAATGGATATTTCTTCTGCTACAGGTACAATTTAATCTATATATCTAGAAATCCTTCATTTTAAAAAGCACACAACTTTATATAAATCATCATCGATGAATTTTGATTTACAATCGTTTTAACATCAGATGCTTGCTTTTTTTATTGATGTATGTATATTTTTTTAAACTTTCTTTGATTTTTTATCAACAGTGTCAACAGTCATTGTTTCTTAAAACATTGATTTTAAGGTCTCGTATAAATATTAGATTAAATACTACATGTATTTTACCCACACCTTTGTCCGCTTTTCAATTCTTTTATAGGGGGAGGGGTGGTTCTATATATGTACCATTAAATAACATTTACAATGGTAAAATCTCAACTAAAAATGCTGTTAAATTTATAGTTCTATTCTCCTGATTTCGTTTCTTATGAAATTGCCTTGGGGGATTGTACACTTCGTTAGTTAAGTTTTCAAGAGTCCACTTTCATAATTAGTCTACAATGAGAAGTCATTCATGTATAGCATTTTCTAGGGCTTGGAAAGCCATGTACTATGAAAAATAGAAAGGAAAATGCTGATTTTCCATTGGACGAGAATGAGTGAATATGTTCTAAAGTAAAAATAATTACTCATGCGTGAAAATGATAAAAGTAAAAACGGTTGTTTTACCTCGCTTAGGAAAGTTTCATGGTGCATTTCATGCTCCTATAAAATAGAAAAAAATCAACCTCCAGGCACACTAGTCCTTTAACATGTTTAAGGAGATATCTCATTCAATTTGTTAATCTTATTGTAGACAAGCGAACTTTAAATAACACGTATAGCAAATTGACCTGCTGATTAACGTGTGTGCTTACTATATTTATAAATTTATTGACAGATCTTGACAATTTCAGCGATCAAACAATCAATCAATCATAACTAAAAATAGAG